TTCTTTTTGCCATTAGCAAGCCTCGGAGATCTGGTGTGCGTTTCGGACCAGCCACATGTCAAGTGCTCAGTAGTCACGTTTTGGCCGGCAGTTGCCATACTGAACAGCACGGGTCCAGACTAAATGTAGATCCACACTGTCTACACTGGCTCATCCAGATGCTGTCTACACTACACACATGCACACACACACACAGAGCCTGTGTTAATTTCTCCAGCTCCCTGGGACACGCTCTATGCTGAAATCGATCACCCCCTACAACATTTTCAACCCTCGCCCCCACACGATAGCATCTGCTCTGATATCCCGATACGCTGTCTACACTGAGCCCAGCAACAATATCGACGCAAACTCTCCTACACATTGTCCATGCTGTCCCTCCCATCATTGTCTATACTGGCTACTGTCCCCCTGCCCAGGCAGTTGGTGCACTGATGACCTCAGGCCCTGTCTTTACTGGACGCTTCTCAACATTGTCACTGGTGTCTGAGATCTATACTGAGTCCACCCACCCCTCCAAAGACCCTGTCTCATCGGTCTTCCTCCTGAGGGCTTTGAAAAATCCTCTCTGTCGCTCACCTCTCATGTGAATGAGCAGGAGGCTGGAGCAGGCCCATCCAGGCCTCTCTCCTGCAGGACATGTCAGAGCCTTGAATATGCTGCCTTGCATCCAGACCTCTTTCCTGCAGGACATGTCAGAGCCTTGAATATGCTCCCGTGTGTCATGAGTACCCAAGAGGCCTTTGCTCACAGGACACCCCAGACACACCTGGACCAGGCTACTCAGGAAAACTAGCAGAGGAAGGCAGGTCCTGAGAAGCGCTCTCTGTGCCCCCACCTGACCAAGGACTCCCAGGCCTCTGCTCTCTGCCCCAGACCCTTCACAGGCCTCTGCCCCAGACCCTTCACAGGCCTCTCGCTCAGGCTGCTCCCCAAACACACTGAGGCCTTCTCCTACTGTGACATGAATTGCATGTATCTTTAGGCCCCTCTGAAGGCTCCTTGTCTCTGAACCTGTGTGTCCATTTATCCCCAGACCCCCCCGAGGTCAATATCTCCGGCTATGATGGCAGCTGGTACCTCGGCCAGAGTAAGGCCAGCCTGACCTGCGACGTCCGCAGCAATCCAGCGCCCACGCACTATCACTGGAGCACGTGAGTCTTGGGTAGACCTGGACCCCTGCGTCTGGGGGAGGAGGGGCTGGGGCTGGACCCCCGGGTCTGGGGGAGGAGGGGCTGGGGC